AGACTTCAAATTGAAACACCAACATTGCCGCTGAAAACTGCTGCGTGGGAGTGCTCTAGAAGTTTAAGCGAGAAATGTGGGGCAACTCGGGGCAAGACAATGGTCAAAACGCTGCAGACATGCGCACGGGTAGGATGGGTTCAAGTCCACACTTCGAAAATTGCACTCCGGTGCCTAAACGAAATGCTAGGGCCCGTTTCTTGAGCAGGAGGACCCTTACCCCCTGGTCGACCCATTCACTTGGTGTCAGCCCCATCGGCCGTTACCTGTGGGATATCTGAAGTCCAAGGACTACAGGAAGACAGCCAAGAATCTTTCTCGGCTGATGATAGTGATTGCAAAGGCCGTCCGTGTTCACTTATAACACGTGCGTGCGAATGAACCCTTATGTGTAATCTCTAGGTGATACGTGCATCCGCCGAAAAGGGGTTCATATTGAAAACAGCGTGTGGGGTGCGCCCGGTTTGACATGAGGCACTGATACATGTGTATAACAAAACTTGAAGATCCGGGCAACACATTTCAGCAAGACATTTGATCCTTGCTTATTTGAGCTGGCGATAATGGCGTAACGAAATCATGACATATTTTTGCGAACACCCTGTACATTGTCCATGGCTGAAGGCTCATTGCTCATTGCTGACCATGTCAATTTGGTGCCTTCTCCATCTCATTTTATTGGACAAGCTACACTGGCAGATAGCTTGAGTGATGAGGGTGGTACTGCTGCCTTCCATGTTAAGGCAGTGCTGCTGACTCTTCCTTATAAAATTGTCATCAATCCATAGTAAATATGCATCACACCAAGCACCACCTACTACTAAATGACCCTGCACGGTACAAAGAAAATACATATTTGGAAGTACCATGCTTTACAGTCTGGCCAGTTCCATTACAATATTGGTCCAAAGTTGACAAGATAAGCTGTTTTAGTCCTGTGTGTACTCAAGTACTCCAGTGCAGGAAAGATGTGTTTACTCCATCTGTGTAATATTTCAGACAGGAAGGTGACCGGCAGCGATGGACGATGGTCTGGCTGAGGCGGTGGCCGCCGCCGGCGCGGGCGCCGAGCCGGGCCCGCTGGCGGAGCTCTCGTTCGAGGAGCAGGCCGTCGAGCTGCTGCTGCAGGCCATCACCGTGGTGTCTGCCGGCGCCATGGTGCTCGGCGGCGCCGTGCCCTACATCCCGCAGTACCTGGAGATAAAGAGGAACCAGAACACGGACGGCTTCTCGCTGTTCGTCTGTCTCGCCCTGCTGCTGGCCAACACGCTACGTATCCTGTTCTGGTACGTTGGGAGTACAGTGTAGCTTAGCCATGGGTCACTGATTACTGATATTGTCGACTTTACCATCTTAAGACCTCTAGTATGTAGCATGTTTGTAATATCATGACGTAACTACGATGTGATGTCACGTCTTACGGTGTAGCAGTGCGACGTCAAACGTGTAGCGTTTGGCATTACGATTGTGTAACATTGAGGCGGCAATCGGCATAGCACCTCAGTTAGCGTGAATGAGTGGCGCGAGTGACATAACGAGTGACTTAGTGCCCATGCTTTGTTCCGTGAAATCCTGGGACAGGTGGCAGCGTGACGATCACGATGTGACGACGTGTGACCAGTAGCGATGCAACGGTGCCGAGTAACGGTATCGGAGTAATGACGGTATCGAGTAACGGAGTTTCAATGTGACTGACTGTGTGACGAGTATCCGTGTGACGTACACGTATTACGAGTGTCGATGTAACAGCGACGACTATTGATGTGATGAAGTGTCAATGCTGTATGATGCTCGAAGTTCGAACAGATGACAATATGATAACCTGTGACGAGTGACGCTACGACTGACGGTGTGCCTGCTCTGCCGGCAGGATGGGCCACCCGTTCGAGCTGCCTCTGCTGGCTCAGAGCGTCATCATGAACGTGGTGATGCTGCTACTGATTCACGTCTGTGTTACCGTCAAGGCCCGTCAGCAGATCGTCAAACACAAGGAGCGCACATTTACTGGTATGTGTATGGAGCGGGCGGGGGGAGTGTGACGCATCCATTATCCAGTCAGTGACATAGTATTTTAATAGTGGTCGTTAATAACGACTCGTTATTGAGACGATCTAGCTAGAGGTCAGAAACAGCCATGGCGTTGAAGCCAATTTTTTATCTGGATTGGGGCCGGATTCAGAGTTATCGGGCCCCTGGGTGTTTCGCGGCAATAGTCTGGTGATCAGAGGTATGCTCTTTGCCGTGTTGTGCGTTGTGTTTGCTGATATTTGATCGGTGTCAGTGACACGTACCCTCTCCTTGTGTCGGCAGATTTCGACATGCGCTACTTCTGGGAGTGGACCGACTTCGAGTCGTACGTGGAGTGCATGCTCACCTTCGCGCTAGTGGGATCCGTCCTCATGTATTTCCTGATTGGTGAGTAGCTGATCTTATAAGTCTTCTGGAAAGCACATGTAAAACTTTAAAGACACGTTGACGTGACTCCTGCACTTAAGGATTAAGTCCATAATTGACTTTTACTCCCGGCCTAGTGTGACAGCGACAGGCAAAGTTTTGTATAAGTCGGAATATCACTCTATAGTTCGATTGTCTTTACATGTGTAGTGCGTACTGTGTACTTACGTATCGGTCATCTGCCGCTCACCTTAGTTGAGCTTGTTGATTATGGTCCATGCGCTGTTGTCGCCGTTTGTGTTTCATTGCACGTTTTGTGGCATTGTCATGAGCCTCTATATCCTCAGATAATCCATGGTTCGTGGAAACGGTGGGATTTTTGGCTGTGTTTACCGAAGCAATGCTCGGGGCACCGCAGTTTTACAAGAACTTTGAGCAGAAGTCAACCTATGGAATGAGGTATGTGCTTATCACGCAGTGTTTTTCTAGTGTTTATCTTTTTAGTTTTGTTCTGTCCTTGTTTCTATAAGCTGTCATGATATAGTGACCAATCAGTAATCATATTTACTGGCTATAATTCAGCCGAGTTAGGACAGGATGTTATTATTTATCATTTAACGTTTAATCATTTTAGAAAACATTTTACGAAGTAGCCATATGACGCCATACGATTGTTTGCTAGATAGGAAAAGTACATAAGTTAGTGGTATTTTTCATGAGATTTGCACACTACGAGTCGTTGACGTAATCCAATGTGCCCGTGACTTGTCACGAGTGCCCGTGATCTAATAACCCCCTCCCCCCCTCCTCCCTCAGTGTGAAGATGGTGGTAATGTGGACGTGTGGCGACACGTTCAAAACCGTCTACTTCATCGTGCGCTCGGCGCCGGCGCAGTTCTGGCTCTGCGGCTTCCTGCAGATGGGTATCGACGTGGCCATTCTGGCGCAGGTCGCCTACTATCGGCAGGACACGCTGCGCCGCCGCAAGAGCGACCTCGGACGGTGACGCGCCGAACCGCAGCTTCACCGGCCGGCGCCAGGCGGCGCTGCGGTCGGCGCACACCAGCCATGGTTGATGTAAGTGGCGCTGCGGTCGCCTGTGTATTGTAGTTGCCGGGGTCACCGGCAGGTGGCGCGCAGAGGGGTGCTGTGGGAGTGTGGAGCGGGATTCCACAGACGGAGAGCTCCCACTAATCGCAGCAGTGAACGGCCAAAGCCGTCCCTCCTGCCTGTCGTTTGTCCCCCGCTCCCCCAACTGTGGCTACTAGAGGTCCCCCCTGGGCTACCTCGGATGGAATCACTGCCTGGCTGGCCACGGGGGCAGCTATCGGACATACCGTGACCCCGGACTGAAGGCGGAGCGGTGCTATAAGTGTACTCAGTTCACAGGGTGCTTTTAAGGCGACTTCTCCTCGAGTTCCTTCAATCGGAACTCGCTGCGATGAGGACTACGGTACGGAAGAACAACGATAATAGTCATATGTCTAATCAATCGTTTGTGGGGTAACAACGATGGTATCAATGTTGTGTTGCGAGATGCAGCTGCTGTGTTTCCGTTTGTGATAAGAGATTCAGACGTTTTCTTATCAAAAGCGAGTTCCAATCATGACTTGAGTGCTTGTGAAAGCAGATAATTAGCGTGCCAATAATCGCTCGGATAGTGTGATTGTACGACCTGGACAGTTACAGATGTCGCCCGAATATCTTAATGAGACATCTGTCGAGAGGATCAGGTATCAGATCTTGTCCTGTGATTATTCTACGTGTCTTACCGCACGAGCTATAGGAAATTGGAGTTTCCTGCTAATTGAGTTCCCCTCGCCTACTTCCCATTGTGATTTGGTGTGGTCCTATAAGTGATTAAACAGCCTCGCTTGAAGATGATCAACTTGTCTAATTCCTATTTTTAAATGCATGCCATATGTTTCCCGTAAGCTTCGGTTTTAGCTTCTGCATTCCCGCGTGATCCGTTGACGTTTCTTTACTTTGCTGACGGTATGCGACAGGAGAGCCTCTTGAAGAGCATACTATCAGTGACTACTGCTAGCTAATGCGGCTGATTAGCTTGCTTATTGTGTCGTTATTTTACCATGCCTTTGAATGCTGGTAGGCAGAGAGATTCTGGAGAATCAGTGCCTTCGTTTGAGCCGGGTCCGCTGAAGGGCGAGGTGCGGCCACCGGTAAGTCGATCTCAGGCGCACACTTGTACTCCTGGTGCTTCTCTTGCCTTCGCACGTGTGTTTTGTGGCGTATGCGCCGCCGTGCGTGCCCCTCTCGCCTTCACGTGTAGGGACTCGGTGATTTTGTGTTACTCGATATTGTAGGCTTCATTGTGTACAATAACTGAATACAGAAAGGATTTAGGACGGAATATGTCGGTCTGTATCGAGCTACCCATTTACCGTTTTATTATTTACTATTTGCGCGTTGTAATATGTCTACGATTCCTGAAGTGTCATGAGCATGACATGTCATGATTCTCAGGCTTTCGTGTTCTCACATTTTCCACATCAGTATGTTTGATTTACCATCACAGCCCGCGAGTGGCTTAGATATTCGTTTCCAGGTTAACCACTCACCAATTAATCATGAAACCATCAACCACATGTATCAAGTCAGCTGAGCTACACTTGGTGTATTTATTGCTGCTTTTTCACATGGAAACAGTGCATCCGTATTCCGTACCCAACTGCGCAGAGATTCCGTAAACGAATGTACTCCTCGACACATCTCTGCATCACCTCTCTCCATCAGAGAGGATGAATAGTGCGTTCTTCCGGACTTGGCATTGGTGGCACCCTACCGTTACAGCAATATGGGCGCCTGCGACTTGCATCTATAAATATAGTGTAGGTACTCTAAATGTACCGCATAAGGCATCACGATGAGTCCGTAACCACGGCCGCTAACAAGTCGGCAAGTCCCAAACCACCGTTATACAATGTGCACTGTGCAGTGTGCACCGAATCGGTAGCCTCTCACAATTGGTGCACCGCTGTCACATGTCAGGCGACGCTGGACCTGCTGCAGAAGGCGCATTGAAGACCACTGGATCTTCAGTCCGTGGGGCAACGGACGCATGGTGCATACATTGAGGACCATAGGGTTCACCTCCGTCATTCAGTGATTGTCTCACCCACACTCGGACTTGGCCCATTTTCTACTGGATACTAAACAATAATAATTCATGTGCTGGTACGCCTGCGGAATAAAAACAAGGCACATTCTGCCTTAATTCCACCGGCCGACACACTCCGACACAATCTGACACCTCGTTACAATAAAACACAACAGTCCCACTCAGCTAGCTTACGATAAAACACAAGCTGGTCGGGTGTGACCCGGCATTCAGTACCACAAAATCCCTCTCGCACAGCCTTATGCCCCACCCGTAGCTACACAACAGGTCCTCTGGATACACTGGGTCACCCCACAAAGACCGTAAGGCAACTCTGAAGGCACACAGTTTACCAATCTTCGGCCGGGAACACGTGGAAAACACGTGGGTACTTGGTCGGCGAGTGTGAGGTGCGCCACACGTGGGCTGACACGTGCCACGAGGACGGAGGAATGGGGCGGGCATGGTGTACCGTGCACGTGGCGCAAGTTCCCCGCTCCTTACACTGTTGAAATGATCCACGATCTACAGCGTTTTGGTTTGCGCACTACTTGCTCGCCATCAAACCGGAATGATTTATCCTGACATTTCTACACTAGCGCTGACCCGCTGGCTCTACGGGTACTTCAGGGACGCTGGTCGCACCTATCTCAGCCCTGCGAGCACCCACCCAGAGCACAGGAGCACTGTCATCTGGCAGAGCACCGCCGGTGCTCCGGCCGCCTGTTTAGCCGTTTCGTCCGGTCGCTCTGTGGTGCCCGCAGCTGCTGCCTCCTCTCTGGGTTTGACCGGCGGCGCTCGGGGCCGGGCCGGCTGCGGCGCTTTGGAAGGAGCCTCTGTGGTCGCAGGGAGAGGGGTCGGCAGCGCCTTGGGAGCCGCCGGCCGCGCCTTCTCCTTCCGTTTGGGGAAGATGGTCTTGTCGGCGGCTGATCCACATACTAGCTGGACGCGAGAGTGAAGTTCCAGCGCCGGAGGATCGCCGTGCCAGTAGTAGACGTGGTACGAGCAGTGCAGGTTGGAGGAGAACGATACAGAGTCGAACACGCACTCTGCCGAGCGGGGCTCGCCCGGGTCCGAGGTGACCAGACGCGTGTCACGCGGACACATGTCACATAACGTGACGTTACGCTCGTTACGCATGCAGCGAGCGCAGCGAGACGGCCAGTCGAAGCAGTGGTTCATGTTGTTACTACAGCAGCTACTGAAGGCTTCATCGCTGCCCGGGCAGTCGTCCCACTTGAACGGGCAGTTCTGGCACACGCGGCCCGTGTAGCCCGTCTCGCACGTGCACGTGCCGCAGTCGCACGTGCCGTGGCCGGAGCACAGTCTGCCGTCGACGCCCCGGCACCGGGAGTCATCGCATGTGTCCACCTCACGCGCGACCCGCACCCGGTCCTCCTCGCACGGCGAGCAGCTGGCGCCGGGGCCAAGCGGCGCTAACAGCGACACGCAGCGGCGGTCGGCCGAACTAGCGTCACTGCACCAGGCGCAGGTGGCGCTGCTGTCTGCGCAGTCTCGGCAGCTGGTGAACTGACTGCAGTCTGCAGCCGGGCCGACAGCGTGAGCTGAAACAGAAAGGAGACGGGGTTTGTTACTGGGTGATTTGAATTGAACATGCTTCAGCAGCTGGTTTGACTAGATCGCTGGCTAGTTCTAAGCTAAATGGGTGATTGGCGAGGGTACTGTGAGTGTGACCTAAAGGGCTGTGACCTAGGGGACCGTGACCCAGGGACCGTAACCTGGGGAGTGGGGGACCTTGACCCAGGGGACCGTGACCCGAGGTCCCTAGGTCACGGGACCGTGACGAGTGCTGTGACCTCAGGACCTGACCTGCGACTTGTGCTGTGGCTTTCATGAGGTAAAAAAAAAAACCATTAAAACATGATTGTTTGCTATTATGTTACAACTTTTACGTTGAATTTACAAAACATTGCGACATTATGAACTTCATTATGTTTGACAATGGTACGCTTGTTTGACTATATGTTGTGACTATATTATGTTTGACTATATGACATTATCAGTGTCGATCGATTTAATTTCGCTCAGAACGGAGCTACTTGAGCCCTAGTTCGCAAGGGTGAATTCAGTGAAGTTTTGAATGCATCCGAGTAATGGGCCTCCAGCTGCAGGGGTCGAGTGGCAGGCGCAGATGAATTCCATTTGCGTCAGCAAAAAGCAATTAATTTGTGGTATATGCTTCTCTTCTAACATAAATCCTTATTAAGCGCACATTGCACAACAATGGAGAAACCCCTCCTGCCTGTCGTGATTTTGCATAATACAGAATGATTGCGTCCTAGTTTCAATATCGTGAGTCCGTTTACTAAACACCATCACAGTTCGCTGTAACGGATAAGCCGATCCAGCCGCGTTTCTGCGATTCAGGGAAATGTGATTGAAGAGCGCAAAAGCTGTGTGCATTGAAATTAAATGCGACAGTAAAAAATGTTTATGAAGTAATGAGAAAATCATCAGCAATGTCACGAAGTTTCTCCATTCAAGCTATCCAGTCATTTATATCCAAATGCTGCCACTGTTTCAGTATTTGTACATCTTCAGTAGGTAAATGCCTAATATCGATAGCCATAACATAACTTTATTTCATCAAACTCATCGCGGCTATGTGCGTAATTAGGTGGCTACTAAACGGTGTTCTAGGAATCAGCACAGCAACTTTTCAGGTGACGCCAGATTTAAACCCATTGTTACCTTAACGGTCTCAAATCTCATGCGCTTAAATACTTCAGCCAAAATGATGGGCAATTCCGGGGATATAGGACATAATCTAGCTTAATTGGCTGGCAGCTTTCAACATATTCATAGCAGCTCAGTCCCCCCCCCCGTTCCCCTCCCCCACCATCCGGCACAGTTACGCCCCCGAGCCGGTTCTCGGACTCGAGAGCGTATAGCTCGGTAAGATACCCGACATCTGGGTGCTAAGTGATTCGAGCGATTACCGTCGGAAACTCCGGGCCAGATCAGCTCGTTCCGGCCGTTTACGCGCAACATATACACACAGGAGACGGCCTATCACACGCGGAATGTAAACATTTACCGACAGGGCATTCCAGGCCGGTGTCGGTGGGGTCACCCGACCCGCCGCGGGTGCGATCCCTGCACCATGAGCTGCCCCCGTCACAGTGGGTCCGACATTAGTCACTCCGGCAGGGAAACGTCTGGTATACCTACTACATCTACGGTGCCATCGTCAGTTCAGCCCTTTGTCCGCAGCTACGCTACCGTCATCAGAGGCACCGTACGGCCGTCATCCGTCCGCGTCATCATCCCATCACCCGTATACCATTCCGTCATCCCTTTTAACCTCACCTATCTCGCAAGTCCCAGCCCTTTGGAAGCTGGAAGATCGCGGCACGGTTGCAGGCACGACTGGACCCTCATGCACGCTCCGAGGTAACGGTCTCCAGCTCCCCGCCTGACGCCTGCACTTATCGGCTGACAGGTTGACGTACACAGTTGACGGCTATGACGGCTGTGACGGGCGCAGTTGACGCGTGCCGAGCATCGCACGGCTATCTCGGGGCGCCAGGGTGTCGCTCATGACATGATGGAGCCCCTGCAGCGGAGCCGATCGAGAGATAGTCGGATATTGGATAGGGGGTTGACGTTTGGGAGCTCGAGAGAGTTGTGAGGGAGAGTGGATTCGTGAGTGCGGGACTAATATCGAGCTTGCTGAATGTTTAGGTATATTTCGATAGCTGACAAAACAGAACTAACTTAACCCTCGCCGGCACAGGGGGGGGGGGGGGGTGATGCAACCCCCCCCCCTAAGGTTTTTTGCGAATAACTCGCGTAAAAAGCGGCCGATCGCGACGAAACTTTCAGTACCCTCGAGTTGTTCAATTTCACACCTACCCTGAAAATTTCGTGACCCTGACCCAAATGACCTTTGACCTGTGACCTCTTTTCTGTGACCATGTTTGGCCGAAATCGCGGTTCGGCGCATGTCGGCTCGCATTAGCCGCGCGTTTGCAAGCTTTTCGTGGTTTCAAACGTTCAAACATGTGATATTGTGATTTGATGCTGCTCCCATGCATTAGGGTGGGTGTCAAGGTCATCTGAAGGTCAGGTCAGGTCATTGACCTTTGGTGACCTCGGGTGACCTCGGTTCACTTTTTCGAGTTTTACATGTTTCTAGGCTAGTTTTTGGAGCTGAATTCGAATTTAGCAACCATTTGAACATTTACGAAGTAGTTTTGGTGCCTTCGTAACATGTTAGGAAGCTGTCCGAGGCGGTTGACACGTATTACGAATACCCGTCACAACCCCTACCGGTTGACCTGACCTGACCTGACCCGACCTGGTCTAAATGCTTAAAGACATCATCTCTGGTCAAAACTAACACGATATTCGTGATCAGCACCCCGGAAAACCACATAGCAGCCACACTTTACGACTTTCTAACAGGTCCCGATTTTCCCGGTTTTCGGGTCATTGACCTGACCTGGAAGGTCACCCGATGACCTAGGACCTTACAATTGGGTATCATCGGCTTCCTCTCGTGACGGGCAACACGCTCGTTTTTTCCGCGAAGCTCTAGCTCGATCAGGGGCCAGACGCGAGGGGGGGTCGTACCAACCAACCCCCCCCCCCCTTGTGCCGTCGAAGGACTCAAAATGGCCTGTGCCGGCGAGGGTTAAATGAGGTAGTCTACCCCATTATTGCAAAGAATATTGCCACTCCCTGCTCGGGCAAATCAACAAGTTGTCCTCTCAGTTGCACAGGCACATTTCAATTAAAAGTAAAACTGTGATGGAGTCGATTACCATTTGTTAATGAAGTTCTAGTGTAGTCCTATGTAGAGGGATGATGCAAGTAGGTAATGAATACAACAAATCAACCTACCCGGATTCACCACTGAATCAACATAACTTTACCCTTCCAAGGCTAACTCGTCGCCATAGCTGGAGGCATGCTTTCATTTCTTCAACAGGCAGCGCCTCGGCTTGGAAGCGGATCATGCTTGTTCCTATAGCCGATACAGGCCCACACCATAATCAGATCCCATAAATCGGACAATGGAGAGGCCTCCACCAATTGCCAGCTACATGCTCACTTTCAGACAAGTCTCGTAGAAGCCTATCTGGCGATCTACCGGGGAGTCATTACCCGGTCTGCAGAGCACGTGACCCGGCCCTCCCCCCCCCCCCCCTGTCTAACCTGTCTGCACGTGCTCGGGAGCAGACATGTGCTTGGATCCGAGAGCTGGATCTATGATCTCAGTGGATCTCTCGACAAAATAGAGGGGTTGGATCTATGATCCGGGTGGATCTCTCGACAAAATTCAGGGGTTGGATCTATGATCCGAATGGATCTCTCGACAAAATTTAGGGGTCGGATCTATGATCTCTGTGGATCCAGCGGGCAAAAATTTGTGGAGGACCTATGATCTGTATGGATCTCACGACAACATGTAGCCAATGAAACCCCTATCCTACATAATTGTACACCTTACAGTGCAATACAATTGAGAATTATCACTTGTGGACATGGTTATTGGTTAAGACCACTTGTAATCATTAGATATCATCATTAAATTTGAATTTAAATAAACAACATTTGTACTACATTTAAAATAAACCAAGAACATGCATATTGCTACTTTTTGTGACCAATTGTAACTTTTTCATGACAGCACTGATGACAATCTTATCAACAAGCTACAGCCACTTTAATTCAATGAACAAGCAGTACAGACAGATGCAGTGGCAGCAGGGCACTGCAGATTTTCATTTTGGTCCCATTCTTTCCATGCAACGCCAGTAGGGCTAATGTTAAAATGCCAAAATCTATGGGGGCACTGTACCCTGGTGCCACCCCCCCCCCCCTGTTCTGCCGCCTATGGACAGATGTTAGGGAATCAAACCTGGAAGCCAAATAGGTCAGTTTTGTTAAAAACATGCAGCAATCCACTTCTGCCAGGTATGAAATCCCAATCCAGAATGTTCGTATGAGCTATGTATGTGCAACACAATTTCGATTTAGTAAGAATAGCAACCAACCTCTAATACTTTCCAAATAAAATTATAAGATCAAAAATGGCATCAACTTCTTCAGATTACCTACTTTTGGCACCGTGCCACCGCCACGTGTGTGGTGCCATGCTGTGCTTTTGTTATGAGAGAGCCTCCCAAAAAAAGACAAACGAAATTCACAGCTCACGTTTTGGTAATATGGTTTTATTACGTCATTATCGTTTGACCAATGAAAAATCTTAATTTGACCAAAACCGAAATGATTCCAAAAGATTCCCCGTAATAGGCCCTTTAAACTAATGACGTAAGATATTGTTATTCTTTTGAAAAATGAATAAAACAAAGATGCAAGGCGCACACCGCTCTGGGCCATATAATACCGTTTCAGCTTACGTTTACGTCATTAAATTCAACGCTACAAAGATGATATTCACAAACAATCGTATCGTAAAATTATATGAGGCAGAAAAAATGAACATTCTTTAAAAAAAAAACTCCAGACTTTTGAATTTCCAGTTTGATTTTTTATTTATTTTCATTATACTCGAAGGTAGAACGCCTAGCTCATT